CAACGCACGTACGTACCTTTACAAGTAGCTGCATCCGCCGCTTGGAGACTTTACTGTGTATAAAACACATCGAACGAGAACTAACGCGCCCTGTGTGCTTTCAATTCGGCTGAAAGGCGCGCGGCTCGCTGGGCTCGTATCTCGCCTGTTCTCGGCCGCTGGCCGCCATGTTTCATAAGGAACACGCTCGAAACGGTTTTGCGGAAGGCAGACACGGTGTAGCGTGTTAAGTTTACACAGCACCTCATGTGTAGACGAAAAACACAGATGGCCTCGTGTTAAACGAACACGTTTCGACGTGTCCGCTATGGGACAACGGTTTACACGTCTAGGCGTGTTATTTTTGCTAACAGTGTGGTGTTCATATAGTGGGGTACCATGTTACCGAGGTCCATATTAACAAGACGTGACTGTAGTCACGCAGCTTAAAAAATGCAGGGTTGGCTTTGTTTATTGCGCGCACGTTTCGTGTTTCGTAATTCATTCTTAGGCGTTAGAATCGTACGATGCCACATTTCGTTGGATGCTCCGGAGCAATAATCAGGTGCTCACAACTTGCCACCCTGTCCGCGGTTATACACGGTTCATCTCGCGAGATGTGGGAATCGGCTATGCAACGCACAAATGCGACAAAGGAGCTCTGAAGAGTGCTCGATTCGCAAAACCACTGGCACGTTTTAACAGGGTTCACCGTCTTCAGAAATGGACTAGAATATAGACCATTTCCGCGTACACTTATAAACAAAAAATCTCGCTACGTGCCAGCGTCTTCTCCGAGTCTGAAGCCGGCCGAAAGAGTACGATGGCAGGCGCAGTCGTTAATTCAGTCAGCTTCCAATTTCGTCGCACAGCCTCGTCACGAGATTGCGTTCCGATGCGTACACGTCAAGAGCCAAATCACCGGACACCTCGATCGTGCGCGGTAGAACCACGCAGAATCAACTACCTACATTTCGTATAGCGCCCGCGTCAGGAGCGCTGACACGCCCATGCAACCGCTGTCAATTGGTCAAAGATTGACATGTCAAGACGCTGAGCAAACACGGCGAAGTCGTGAGCGGATCTATAGAACCTCAAACCCGAGCGCTTTTATTAAAACTTTCGCGATAAAAACAAAAAGGAGACGAAGGCGACAGCTAGCTTCAGAAGATTCATGCCGGTTCTGAAGACGAGGCAAGCTTCACCGCTGTCATCTCCAACACGGGCGACGGCAGGGAGCAGTGTCTTTGTTAAGGAACAGCGTACACGACAGATGACAACACTGGGTGGGAATCGTGCCAGTTCGTTAAGTTCCAAGAAGCCATGTCGTGGGCGTCCCAACCTCGCCTAAGCACTCGCAAGGGCCTCTAGGAAAAGCCTGCTGCTCGATCGCATCATTGTGCGCGAATAATCTCGTCTCGAGATCGAGACTCCAGAGCCCTCCTGATGGCTGCGACGCGAAGAATTAGTGCGCTTCGGTTGTTCAGCTGTCCCGATGCAATCGGACCGCATGCCACATCTCGAGGTCCGTATACTTCCTCGTCTGCGCCCACTTCTAAAAATACGAATCCGATTGAATTAAGCGTTTCGCAGAAACCGAGCCACACCTGTTGGTCTACTTTAGAGTGAAGTCGAGAGTCCATAAACCTCATTCGTAAAACCTAGTTAGTCTTCATCGTCCTTTTATTTCGAACATAGCCTCTTTGTTTGTTTTACTGTTATTTAACGACTGCTCATTTAGCGGTTGCACGCTCGTTCCATCCCCAGCGACCTACAGCACCGCCTATCTAAGGTGAAATAATATGATGATCTGTCACTTGTTGGTTTCAAAGTGTGGTGGTAGTTCGGCTTGTACGGATTATAGGATATTCGATCTTTTTAAATCTTATAGTAGCTGCTCCTACTTTGGATCAAAATTTCTTTACCCAGTGTAGAGAGTAATAAGGACCCAAGAAAAGACAGGTATGCGGAATATAATGACTCTGGAGTATCAATGTATTGTCTAGCTGAGAAGAACAAGATGAAAAATGCTGCCTCACAATGAATGTTATGTCGGGAATGACGAGCGTAGCTTTGAGAAATAAAATTGAAGGTTTAACGAGACGGTAAAGTTATATGAAATAAGATGTGAATACCCTCGCAGAAACGAAATTCCCGCGGGCATGGCTCCCTATTTATTCGCAACTTTCATGGCCTAAACTGGGCATACTAACACATATCAAAATAATGGGCACCTGGAGAATTAATTTTAAAGCGCGGTATGCGGTTTAATCCGAGATACACAAATAGTCCTATTTGGTTGAAAACAAGCTTGCATTAAAAATGAAGCATATCATTGCTCGAGGGAGAAGCGTAAGGAAAAATGTTTGTCGGAAAATCTATCACCCACAGAGTACGCCGCGCAATTGTGACAAAGCGTTTTTTTTTTTTTTTTTTTGTCGTTCCAAAGTTGCGAGTATAGCGATATAAATTTCTCGAACATACCACTGTAGAAACAAAACTAGAGTCTGTATGGTCTACAATGACGCTTTCTGGATGAATGAAGCAGAAACGTATTTTAAGGATAAAATGTTTACAGAAAAATTTATGTAGGCTATTTTTACACCATTTACGCAGCGAAGGCTTAAGTGAACAACAGCAGCCAAAGTTCACAAAAACAAAAAACAAAATAATAATAATTTTGCACTTGTATTCATGAAACTGACTTATGTAGAATTGCGATTTATGAGGAGCGCAGGGGACGCCCTCAGCCCTGCAGGCACGCGACGCCCTGTCTAGCGTGGCCACATACTCCTTTTACATCGTTTCTTTATTTTTCTTGTTGCTTTTGAAGCTTTCGCAGCTGGAAAAGTCTTCTTCAAGCGTCTCAGAGTCATCTCTCCTGCCGCTCGCCCAGTTTCTTCGTGTGGCCGGCGGAGCAGGCGCCGCGGATATTTGGCGGTGAGCCAACTCTCCGACTGTGGCACGCTTCATTTCTCAGGGCTAAATCAGACTTGACTTTCCCAAGTATGCGAGTCTGCATTGATATTCCGCCGAAATAGGTCAGGTGGTATAGCATGGCATGCGTTGAGTGAGGCGGGTGCCTTCCCTCCGCTCTTCCGAAAAAAAGGGCAAAGCCCTCCGAGGATCTCGGGGACGCATCTGAGCGAGATGGCACCAGTTCGGAAGGGACGTCGCATTCAAAAGCACTCATCCCATTCAAGAGCTGACACGACTGCAATTCTGGCCCCGAAATCTGGGTTGAACCGCCGACAGATGACGATGACGACGAAGAACGCCTCCGCAGTGCTGTCTTGCATACCTTCTGCTCGCGCGCACTGCGAACTCGTCCCAAATGGTTCATCGGCGCTGACGCCTTGTTCTGCTCACGAGCGTAGTGAGCAGAGCATTGGGGCGTGGGGGATAGCGGATGACAGCGCAAGACGGCAGCCGAGACACGATGCGGCGCGCTGGCTGGAGTGCCCGCCGCTCGATCGTGAGTTGGACGGGACGCCGGGGGCAGTGTTTATTTGCAACTCAGCGGCTTCGTTTTGTCGCTTCCGGGCGCTCGCGCTCTCGTTTGATGAGCGGGATTGTCTGTCTGCTCGTCGCAGCGTCGCGATTATTAAGTCGTGAGTAGAAGCCAGGCGAAGAATCTTAAAAAAAAAAAATACGGTAACTTTTTTTTTTTTTTTTCTTGGGGGGGAGTGGGACTCTTGTTGTGCGGCCACTGACTTGAATTGACTGGCAGGTCTGAGCAGGTCTCACGGGAACCTGCCGTAGCAGTCGACCGTCGGTACGCGTTGCTGACCTGGCTCCTGAAGTGTTTTCACCACGTCACGACGCGGATCAATGTACCAGCGGATAGCTCTGGTGCGTCATGAATGAACCCCCCAGCCCAAGCGCGTTCCCCGATAGGGACGCAGATCGCGGATGATGTGGAGCATAGGTGCACGGCAGAACCAATTCCGATGTCCGGGCTGTTTCACTTACTTGCTCAATCATGTTTTAATGGCCGCTCGTAACAAAGAAATACGCTCGGCGATGTCCAGGCGCATGAGGCGTTTCTGTGACAGAAAAAAATTCCCTGTCGCCCCATTCTCTCTGTAATGGTTAGTATGAAGATGCCCTATTTACGGTTGTTTTAAATACTTAACACGAGGATTTCCGACTCGAGAAAGTCAACTAAAGTTGTTAGTTCACGTCCTGAAGGCTGGAAATTTATAAAGTTCAACGGTGGAATACCTTGTTGTTATTTTCGTTTTTTTTTTATTGGATGTATTAAACCTAACTTGATGCGAATTAATTATCACCCTCTGAACACAGAGAATTTTGTAACGTTCCGAACTCCGCTACCAAATATGCATCGCAATTTCTTGCTCGTACTCTACACAACTTAAAAACTTTATATTCGATCGCGTTAAAAAAAAAAAAAAAATGTTAGCCAGGACAACAAAGTGCGCTTATTATGTTTCATCTGGGTAAACTGTTAATCTCAGTTTTATTATAAAATCATATCCTGCACTTGCAGGGGTACAAGACCCTGTCAAGCTTCCTTTTCGATGTATTCGGCACAATTTAGCTGCTAAAAATAAAGCAACAATGTTTTCTTCACGGTAGCCAGTAAAGAAGTACCCGGTGGTTTATTCTCCCGGATATCATCCTATTATTCTTCTTTTGTTTTTTTCTCAGAAGGCTGAAAAATATGGTTTAGTGCATTTTAAAGCATCATATACTCCAAATAATATATTTTCTGTTCTCGATGACTTTGTCTCAGAATTGAAGAGGTCGTGTGGGCGTCGTATTTAAATCAGGCAATAAGCGTAAAAACAAAACACAAACTATATTTACACTAATAAATCAATCGAATATACATCATTACAGAGAAGTGTCTCGATCGGCTTCTGTCGTTCGCCTCGTTCCGCTCGTGCCTCGAGCCTTCTTCTTTCTTCTCGTTTCTCGTGAGCTTCAAGTTCTTTCCAATCTGCAACATCCTCCCCCCCCCCCTTTTTTTTCTTTTTCCGCGTGAGAGTTGCCTTGGTTCATTCACTTGCCAGTTCCAGGGGGTAAAGGAGCTGCACGGGGCGCCGAAGCGTTACCCCGCTCGGTAGGCGCACTAGACAGGAACGCACGTGGTTGTCTCTGCCCAGCTGAACTGTTTCGATCCTCCCCGTTTTCCACATGAGCCGTGGGGTCTTGTCTTCGTGAACAAGAACGAGGTCCCCGTTCTGTAGGTCGTTTGTCCGCGTCTCGGGCGATCGGTGTGCGGAGCGGAGTTGAAGGAGGTATTCCTTCCGCCATCTCCGCCAGAATCGGTCCAGTAGTTGCTGCCTGTGTAGCCAACGTCTGGTAATGTCCCCTCTCGCAGAACCTGGTATAGTTTCTAGGTTGACTGATGGGAAAGCCGTCAGACGCCTGCCCAACAAGAAGTGCGCAGGCGTTAAAGCCTCCTGCTCGTGTGGAGCGTCGTTAACAGGGGCCAAAGGTCGAGAATTCACGACGGCTTCCACCTCTTGGAGCATGGTCGTTAGTTCTTCGAAACTAAACTTGTTCCTTCCTAGTATGTTCCTTAGACTACGCTTCACTGTCTGGACCATCCTTTCCCAGAACCCGCCCCACCAGGCTGCTCTCTCAGCGATGAACTTCCACTTTATCCGATGCTGTGAGCAGTGGTCCTGGAAGCGGCGGTTCGTGAGCACGTCCCATACGCCGCATAAGTCCTTTGCTGCCCTCTTAAAGGTGAGGGCATTGTCTGAGTAGACAACACTGGGTAAGCCCCGTCGAGCAGTAAAGCGCTGGAAGGCCATGATGAACGCCTCTGTCGATAGGTTGGAAACAAGCTCTAGGTGTATGGCTCTTGTCACCGCACATGTGAAAAGCGCAATGTACGACTTTTCATCTGATGCTGCAGTCTTTACCATCAGTGGACCGGCAAAATCGATCCCGACCACCTCAAAAGGATTCGCTTGGGTAATGCGATCTTGCGGCAAAGGTGCGGTCGGAGCGTTAGCCGGCTTGAGTCGGGCCAACCGACAACCATTACATTTGTTGATGACCTTCTTGGCCAGCTGTCTTGCTCGCGGTATCCAGAACCGCTCTCGGATTTGGGTTAATGTGTCCTGAAGTCCGCCGTGCAGTGTTCGACGATGGCAGTCTCTGACCAATTACTCAGTGAAGCGGTGATCGGGAGGTAGCAAAAGCGGGTACTTGATCTCGATTGTTTCGTTTAATTGTTGCAGTCGTCCCCCCACTCGCAACAATCCGTTGGTGTCAATGAAGGGGGCGAGCGAGACTATGCTGGATCGCCTTTCCAGTTTCTTATCTGTCTTTAGATCGTTCACTTCTTGTGTAAAAGCTTCCTGTTGCGTTCGTGCGATCCACCAAGTCTCGGCTCGTTCAATTTCTTCGGACGCTAGCGGGCCCTCACGTCGGCTTCGCCGCGTTCGGCAGTTCTTTACAAACCGCATAATCCATGCAGTAATCCTGAGGACCCGTTCCAGCGCCCCGTATCGTTCAAGTTCCAATAGAGGTGCAATCCCCTCCGTTGCAGTCTGCAATACGTGATGTTCCAGCTTTCCCTCCTCTGCAATAACTGCTACTGGAACGTCGTCGCCCATGACGAGGTTTGGCCATACGTCTTCGGTTTTACCAAGCCACTTTGGACCCTTCCACCACAATTGCATACCTTTTAGAGTTTCCGCAGATATTCCCCGTGTCATCAAATCTGCCGGATTTTCTTGTCCGGGGCAGTGCTTCCATGTAGAAGGTGACCCTCCAGATTGGAGCTCTGCCACTCGATTTGCCACAAAGGGCTTCCACTGAGTTGCTGACCCGCGGATCCAGTGAAGTGTGATAGCGCTATCTGTCCAGTAGAATGTCTCTTGAATGTTCATGATCTCTCCAAGATACTGGCCCATCCGTCTTCCAATCACTGCAGCCATTAGTTCTAGTCGAGGTAGTGTTATTCGCTTTATGGGCGCCACACGTGATTTCGAGAATATCAAGTTCACCTCTACCTTCCCATCCTCTCCTTCAGCCCTCAGGTAGGCACAAGTGCCATAGGCCACCGGACTTGCGTCGCAGAAGACGTGTAGCTGGAGAGAACATATGACTTCTCTTGGCGTCTTCACGATGCAGCGAGGAATCACTATCTCTTCTAATTGTGGAAGTTCTGCGCACCATCGCCGCCATTGCACCAGTAGGTCGTCCGTTAGATCGTCGTCCCAACCGATTCCTTGTTCCCAGATTCGTTGAAACAAAACCTTGATTCGTATAACGAACGGAGCAAGGAGTCCCAACGGGTCGAAAACCCTAGCTGATGCACGGAGTACATAGCGCTTCGTCGTCCCACTGCACGTGACGAAGTTCAGGATTCTCTCCACTGGAATGGCCAGCGTGTCAGCGTCACGTCGCCAAAGAAGTCCAAGTACAGCTCTCGGCTCAGAGAGTGCAGGCGTTGATGCAGCTTTATCGAACGATCTTTGCAGTACTGTAGCGTTGGTAGACCACTTTCGGAGTCTCATTCCTGCATCTTCTAAAATCTGGTTGGCTTGTTCCTGTATTCGCGCCGCTTCTTCAATAGTGGGGGCTCCGATCAGGAGGTCGTCGACGTAGAATCCCCGTTGAAGCAGTTCCGCAGTCGATCGCAATTCTCCATTGACGTTGCTCAGATGATGAGTAAGAGTGGCGGTTAGTAGAAAGGGGCTGGCCGATGTCCCAAAGGGCACTCTCGTCATCCTCCACTCTTCAACTGTTGGTTCAGAGCTTGCTGACGACGAATCTCTCTGAAACCACAGGAAGCGTAGGACGTCTCGATCTTCAGGTCGAACGCTGACCTGCAAAAACGCCTTTTCTATGTCCGCTGTTAAGGCGATTGGGTGTAGACGGAAGCGCACCAAGATTCCGACCAGATCGGCGTTCAAACTCGGCCCTTTTTCCAGTTGTTCGTTGAGTGAAGCAACTCCTGGGAGATGAGACGAAGCGTCGAAGACGACTCTCAGCCTGGTGGTCTCGGATTCATTCCGAATTACGGGCTGATGGGGCATATAATAAATCCGTGGGTTTGTCGACTCGGCACAAAATGGGCTTGTTGAAACGTTTTCTGCGTGTCCTGAGGTGATGTAGCTGCGTATGACGTTGTCGTAATCTTTTGCGAAGGACTCGTCGCGTGACAATCTCTTTTTCAAACTCTCAAGACGTTTCAATGCCAGCGTGCGGTTATCCTTCAGTTCTCCCGCGCCGACCCTGAACGGTAGGCCGACTTCGTACCGTCCATTCACTTTCCGTATTGTTCGGTTGAACTCGTTCAGCAGTTCGTTCTGTTCTTCCATCTTGCTGGAGGGCTGGTCAGAAATTCCGATGCTCTCTAGCTCCCAAAAACGCCGCAGGATGTCTCCGACGTCCTCGTTCGTGAAGCATTCCGTTCTTAGCACGCATACCATGCTGCTGGCGCTGCCTTTGAGAGAGCTGTGGTTTGACACTGGGCCTTGAAAGGTCCAGCCAAAAATGGTGCTTATAGCTACCAGCTTCTGATTTTCCTTGCAATGCAGCACTTGGTCACCGTTCACTCGCCACAACTGGTCTGAACCGACCAGAAGGGAAATGCCCTCTTCAGCAGTGGCCAGAGGGGAGAGAAGCATGTCCGCAATACGACGACCGTTTTTCATCATACGGCGAACAAATTCGTGGTCGACGGGTACCTGCACAACATCCTTACAGATGAAGGGTACCTCGACGGCCTCGATGACGCACTCTTCTTGGCCGTATTGGCTGTGCAACCGTACTTGTACTAGTCTCCGACGTTGCGGTCGTGACGTGGAGCGGCCGAACGTATTTAGCCGGAGGCTAACATGTCCCAGAACCTTGAGGCCGAGTTTGCGAGAAAGATCCTCACAAATGAACGTCCGTTGGCTACCTCCATCGATAATGGCTCGCACGTAAAGTCTTTGGTTTTCTTCCTCAGCCCAGGCTCGGAATGTTTGAAGAATCACTTCGGAATCCAATGGGATGTCAGCACTGTCCGAGATTGCGTTCTGGACGCTTGTCGCAGGGGCACCTCTATCCGATTTCTTCACGTTAGGTTTCCAGTTCGGGTCGCACATGGATGTGACATGTCGACCGGAGCACGACGCGCATGTCACCTTCCGCCGGCACTCCCTCGCCCGGTGCCCTCCGATTGTGCATCTGAAGCAGCGGTTTTCTTCCGCCAGCCTCCTTTTCTTCACCTCTAACGTGAGGTCGCCAGTACATACTTCTGTTGCGTGCTTTGTGGACCGGCAAAAGAAGCAGGGGCTTGTGATATTTGCATGTAGCACAGAGGCTGCTGGCATTCTGGGTCTTTCAGTCCTTTTCTTCTGCGTCTCTTGCCGTTCTTCTACTACTCCGGCTCTCTCCCTACTCTCAACTTCGATCCGAAGGAAGCTTAGAATATCGGCGAGCTCATCTTCGGCATCGGCGAAAGAGGGCGGCCTTGGAGCGCTCCGGGTGGAAAATGGTCCGTCGACAGACTGTCCGGTGTCCTGCACCGCTGGTGAAGTCAGTGAAGTCGGACTGTTTTGCGTTTCCCCCGTCGACCTGTAGGCAGTGTTGCTTGCCTGCTGCCGGTGATAATTTACGACGACTTCGCTCGGCAAGGCCTTAAGGAGGATATCGGACATCATCGTGCAGTACGTTGCCGATCCCACGCCGAGCCCTTTCAGACCTCGGATGTTCGTCTGGACGTGATCGTACATCTTTCGGAGGCCTTTCGTGTCTTTCGCGGAGGCAACAGGAGGCAGTGCTCGGAGCTTCGCCAGATGATTTTGTTCGATCCTTCGTTTGTCACCGAAGCGCAGTGTCAGGATTTCAATGGCATCGTCGTAGCAGGCCTCAGTTGCCTGGAGCCCAGCGATGGCCGCCGCCGCTGGTCCGGTGACATGGTTGCGCAGGTACTGAAACTTGTCCGATCGTGGAATGCTATCGTTTTCGTGGATAGCACGACCAAACTGCTCCCAGAAGCTCTGCCATGCGCTGACCTCGCCGTTGAAAGTTTGAAGTCGTAACTTGGGAAGCTTCACGCCGCTAGTCATGTTGGTGCGATTTCTTCCCAGGTCTGTAGTGGCAGTCGCAGATGTTGTCGCGGATGTGGTCATCTGGGTGGCCTGTGCCTGTTGTTCTTTACGTCTCAGTGAGTCTGCCTTGCAGTCCAACAGCGCCATCATTCGGATGGCCTCGTCGTCGTACTCCGTGACCGTAGTGTATTCTGCGACGAGGTCTTGTTCCGATATATGATCTTCTATCTCCACGTTCAACTCTTGAAGAGCCCTGTTATTGGTTTTCAGCCTTTCTAGCCAGGCAGTCAGCGATGCCAGGTCCGCTGTCTCCATCCCCGCTGTCGCCTCGTGGATAATTTTCGTGTTTTGCGACCGCTTCACTCCACGTTTTGCCTTGAGACGTTCCATGTTTGACGATCTCCCACACAGCTCTCGGAAACAGCGTTCCAGGCAGGTGTTCCACAAAGGTGGAAAATCCGCTCACCTCAATCGTTCTCGTTCCCGGGTTTCGGCACCATAATGTCTCAGAATTGAAGAGGTCGTGTGGGCGTCGTATTTAAATCAGGCAATAAGCGTAAAAACAAAACACAAACTATATTTACACTAATAAATCAATCGAATATACATCATTACAGAGAAGTGTCTCGATCGGCTTCTGTCGTTCGCCTCGTTCCGCTCGTGCCTCGAGCCTTCTTCTTTCTTCTCGTTTCTCGTGAGCTTCAAGTTCTTTCCAATCTGCAACAGACTTCGTTTGTTGTTGTCACATAATTTAATTGAAATTAAATATTTTAAGTGTGGTTGTATGGATAACGATGACAGATAATTTTGTCATCATGATGTGTAACCAGCGTGACTCCGGCTTTACGGCTTGGGACTGACGACGAGACATCCATTCAAAATCTTTAGACTGGCCCGGACCAAACCAATCTGGACACTGCATCGTTTTTGTTGTGAATATTGTAACTTCTAATTCAATTCTCGTTAAAAAAAATATATAATCGCGTCTTTTTTCAATAAAAATTGTCCAAGTTCATCGAGATAATTGCCTCTCTTTCCTAAACACTTTTTTATCGTTACAAACTCTATGAAAGTTGTATTGCAATTGAAACCAAATACTCAAACAACTTGTGCATATTGTTGTAATGAGAAGATCCCATCGGCGGACGCAGATCTGTTCAGCGAAAGTGGAATGGAGGAGAACAAAGGCCAACCAATGGGCTATTCTTTTCGGTCTTTTTTTTTTTTTTTTCATCAATACATGTTATTTGCGACACGGAGCAATGGTTTCGATAAACTATGGTGCCTGGAACACGTATCCGACTGGTGTGTTTTCCGTGTCTTAATAAGTGGTCCCTCGATTCCCTCCTGATGATATCACAAAAGTGTCACGTTGTCGCCGGCTGCGAGCCTGGCGGTGTCCCAGCAGCGCTGGTGAGTGTGGCTGACGCCGGTCCAGCTACAGGTCGCTCTTCACTGTGACACTTCACGGCAGCTTCGGCAGCCAGAAGTTGGGACTCCGCGAAAACAGCGGCACTCGCGTTCGCTATCGTACTTTTTGCCGAGACTCTTATCGCCAAACGCTACGATAGCGACCTCCGACAGCATAGCACATCGGCTTCTGTGACGTCATTTACTTGCCACGTCGGAACCCCTTTTGATGTAAGATAGCATGCAGGCGAAACACACTGGTCCAAGACGCGTTGCTGGCACCGTAGGTGAACACTCCCGTGCGCATTTCCTGCTACTCGCTTTGCTCCAAATGAGACGTTGCTTAATACATGAAATAAATGCTCCGATTTATGTCAAAACAGCCTTCTTTATTGTTGTTTACAAAATATATTTCACAGCCACTTTGCCCGTGCACATGCGCGGTAATCTTTTTTTTTATGTTTTCGGCGACGTTCACAGTCAACTATAGCGAATATTATTATGTGCTACTTCCTAAGTGACTATACTCTATCTTAGGAGTTGTGTGCAGCAAAAGCAAAGGCATAGGCGTGGGCATGCATAGCTTTTAAATTTGCTTTCATTTCGCGAGTGATCGTAAAAGGAGAGCAGATCTGAAAGCCACGCGCTCGCGCTGGTGCCTTTGCCTCTGCTGCACGAAACTCATGAAATGGGTATAGTGCATTGTGCCACTTACAACGGAGACTGAGCCAGACGGATGGCTCCACGTGTCTTAACATAATTTTAAGCTTAAGTTAAAAACACGCAAATATTTTGTTTGTAATGAAGTTCGATTTGAAGTCTACAAAATGACACGACTCAAATTACTATTCTGCAAGGGTATTAGAAAAACATAAGCTAAAGTTTAGGCTCGATTGTACCAGGTTGTTCGTCGAAAGAAATAAGTTTTAATACAAAAAATGCTTTAAAAGTGAGTCTCATGGACGTTGAGGACAAATTGTTATTTTCCCCTTTATTGCCACTGAAGATATGCTTTTCAGTAAAAAGAGAAATATTTAAACCGACGTTAAAAAGTTACCCCCCCCCCCCAAAAAAAAAAAAAAATGTAGTGAACACAGCGAAACATTTTGATGCCATCTTTATTTGAAATGATTAATAATTTCTTTACATAATCTCGTATTTTCCCATGCCCTGCGGTAAAAGCACGCAACACATGCTCCTTGTTTCTGTTCTTAATTATGTAGAAAGAGGACGATAAATATGAAACCATGATCTCATCGTACGCATACTGTTGTAATCTCGGGATATTAGTGATAAAAATGCATTAAATTAACCAAATCTCAACAAGGTCTTCTTTAGTATATCTGATTAGTCGAGCGTGTGATCTCTCTGTATAGTGCTGTGTCCTGTTGAGAAAATTAAATTCAGCAGCACAGTGACACACAGTAACGAAAGAGGAACAACTATAGGGAACAAATGCAAATGCCTTAACTACCCAACAGTTTCATAGCGAAGCTGTCAAGAGCTAGTTTCCCCAGGATCGTGTCCGGTGCCAAACAAATGTCGACACCCGTGGCCGACACAACACTCTGGTTTCCGCCGTCGCTCATAGATGGCGGCAACATTTCTTCGGAGGAAGAAGAGGGGGAACGGAACGAGCGGCGATGTGCGCAGCAGCGCAAATGGTTCCGCAACCGCCCAGAGGCCGCTATCGCCTAAAGTTCCATTGCGTCGAGCGCTTCAGATTCCCTTGCGGAAGGAGATCAGATCGCTCGCCTGGAAAGCCGCCGCCGAGAACAGAAGTTACAGCTCCGCTGCTCTTCCTTTTTCACCACACTGTGTGGGCAACCTGGCGATTCCAAGCGGTTGGCCCAGGCTGCCCCTCCGACAATCATAAGTGGTCATCTTGACCACGAGGGGGCCAAGGGCAACTGGCCACGCGAGCGGCGCTCCGCCGCTGCTAAAAGGCCGTCGCAGCGGATGCGCGGGGGCTGTTGGGATCGCGGCGCAGGCGATAGCGCTCATTAAATGTTTACGTGTTGTTGAACCGGTGTGCTGTGTCATTCTCCGAGACGGGTAGCAGCAAGGGAAATCCCACAAGTGGAAAGGCTGAAAGTTTTTAATCGCGATATTTTTTCCACCAAAGTGAGGGGGAACTGAGAAGCACTCAGAACAGCGGCTCTTGTTTCCGATTTGTATGGCTTTTGAATATATAGTTTTGTCTTTATGATGTCTCGGAATTGAATCAAGTGCTCAAGTTAAGCTAGAAACGCAATTAGCCATTCGAATATAACGGAGTTGCATATCGTTTACATTTATTATTATTATATTCTTGGAGCATTATCAGGCGAATAAAAAGGCGAAGAAAAGAATAGCCACCTTTGTTCTATAAACGATTTATCAAATCAGGATTACATACTATAATTCGCAGGCTATATCACTACATATGCTAAATAAAATGAACTGAATTCACATTAAATAAGAATGATGTGTACAGAAACATATGCGGCTATAAGAACCATTTAAAATGCGCTTAAATGTGTGTCTATAAAATCCGAGAGCACGAAACGACGCGTCTATAAACATTTTGCATACTGTAAACGACTTATTTTTCGCACGCTTAATAATTCGCGATTTAGGTAAAAGCTGAAGTTTTGAAATAATTCGCGCGTTCTCATTTTCGCGACGCGGTGGGATCTCAATATAGATTTCAATGTGTTCACATTTTACCAGAATTGTGCGCAGAACCTATTTTTCGCGAATTGCAGGCAACTCGCGAAATTCGCAAAAATTAGGTCCTCGCGAAAATTCAGTCATTTACAGTATTTGTATTAATCTGGAAATATTGACTTCATCCAAGTTGTGAGATGTTTTTCAATCAAATCAAAGCCTTTTCAGTCAGAAAAAGAAAATGCCTTTCCCATAGAGATTTCTGTAAATATAGTCATAAAATTTATTTATCGGTGGTGGAATTAAATTTTTGAAGCATGAAAATATTTACATAGATAAATCTAAAACTTTTTCTTGGTCCTTTTTAGGCACTTAGTAACATGTAAAAAAAAAGTACAAAATCCGACTATGAAAATATTTTACAACAATGAAATAACAACAAAAATAAAAAGAAACACCGATTCCCAGCATCGGGTGTTGCAAGACAAGGGGTCTTTGAGGTAACTTGAGTTCTTCAACAAACACAGGTCATCTGGAGGACGCCACCGCATGTCGCCTGGAACCTCTTGAGCTTGGCGCAGTGGTCCCAGCATTTCTCGGGGTACAGCGGGCAGCCGTAGCCTTTCATGCGGGGCTCTGCAAATTAAGCGTTCCGGTTTAACGAGGGAGAAGCGATAACCTTGCGAAATTCTGTAAAGATACTGTCAGTTGAACATCGCAACAATACAGCTTCCTTCCATGTATCTTTCGGTCGAAACAGAGAGCCGTGTTTCCGTATTTCGGGTAATATTTGAGGGGTGAATTAAGTTTCAGCCGATCTCATTTTCAACTTTTCTAAAACACAGATTTGTGTAAAGTATAACATCGTACCTGATTACGTAAAGTTCATCTTTTATGTTAGTTTCAACTCTGAGGGCAGTAAACAAAGTATGATAAAAATGTTACTATAAATTGTTGTACCAAAGGACCCGACCATTTCCCCAATTGCAGCCGAATATCAAAAGTTGGCATTTATTAATGAGAAAGCATTAACTGTCCCGTGGAGCGAGCCGACGTAATCAGCTTTTGAAGCCGCGCCAAACGGGACCTAAACTCCCTTGTTCCAATGGAGCGAAGACTGCCGTCTGTAGCAGAAACCTGATGAATAGGCACCCATTGGCTGGCTTCAAGGAACGAGGCACCGTTGGCTCTCGCGCGACGTAGATCCAAGGAAATCCAGCAGAGAAGCCCTCTCCATGGCGGCGCAGTGCACGCAGCGGCCCGGCCGCCGGTAAGGGGTGCGGGCCTAGCCTCAGAGCCCGCACGTGCAAACTCCGGAGAGGCTCAGCGAG